TTATAGGTTGTGTGAGTTTAACATCCCGAATCATTCTTATTTTTCAGTAAATAATAAAACTCAATGTATATTTTGGTAAAAACGTAAGTATGTACATGTACAAAGAGTGGGTATTTACAAGTCTTTTGCAAAAATCATTTATAGGTTGTGTGGGTTTAACATCCCGAATCATTCTTATTTTTCAGTAAATAATAAAACTCAACATATATTTTGGTAAAAACGTAAGTATGTACATGTACAAAGAGTGGGTATTTACAAGTCTTTTGCAAAAATCGTTTATAGGTTGTGTGGGTTTAACATCCTGAATCTTTCTTATTTTCAGTAGATAATAAAATCAATGTATATTTTGGTAAAAACGTAAATATGCACATATGCAAACGAATCATTCTTAATAATAAAAATATGAATTTATTTATAAAAAATATAAAACAAAAAAAAAAAAATTGCACCAACAACAACATAATAGATTTGGGATAATTCGTGTTGGTGCTGTTGTAATTGTCGTTGTAGTTGTTGTTCTAGTTGTTGTCGTTCTTGTTGTTCTTGTTGTAGTTGTTCTTGTTGTTGTTGTAGTAGTTGTTGTTGTTGTTGTAATTGTTGTTGTTGTTGATTTTGTTGTTGTTGTAGTTGTTGTAGTTGTTGTTGTAATTGTTGATTTTGTTGTTGTTGTAGTTGTTGTAGTTGTTGTTGTAATTGTTGATTTTGTTGTTGTTGTTGTTGATTTTGTTGTTGTTGTTGTTGTTCTTGTTCTTGTTGTTGTTGTTGTTGCTGTTGTTGCTGTTGTTGCTGGATTTGAACCAGCAAATCCCGGTTCGTTGGCCCAGCACGGGGGGCACGAGGAGCACGAGGAGCCCGAGGAGCACGAGTATGAGGTGGTGGCAGCGGTGTAGATGTTTGTTGTTGCTGCTGCTCCTGGATTACGAAGATGTTATTTTTGCTCATTTTTTAAATAATTTTAAAAATTTTTTTTAAAAAAAATTTAATTTTTTAAATTTTAAAAATTTTTTAATTTTTAAAAATTTGAAATTTTAGTATCAGATGAAAATTTTGCAAGGTTTAAATATTAAATTTTAAAAATATATTTAAAGTACATAAACCTTTCCTTTAAAAAAAATCCTGAAAATTACTAGAAAAACTGCTTAAGGATTGAATTTTTATTTCTTTGTAATTCGCAATTAAACTTTTCATAACCTGTAAAACATATTTTTGACATATTCTAAGTTTCCATAACTGATAAAAATCAATAGACAAAGATTAATTCGTAATTAAACTTGTTGTAATGAATAATTAAGAATTACTGTTTTTTTCTTTGTAATTCGTAATTAAACTTTTCATAACCTGTAAAACATATTTTCGCCATATTCTAAGTTGCCATAACTGATAAAAATCAATAGACATATATGGCAAAAGACTAATTCGTAATTAAACTTGTTGTAATGAATAATTAAGAATTCCTGTTTTTTCTTTGTAAATGTAAAAACTTGTAAAAACATATTTTCGCCATCTGACAGACATATATGGTAAAGACTCATTTTTAAATAATTTGTTTAACAGAATAATTACTTTTTATGTCAAATGAGATTTTTCCATTACCAAATAAAGATATATTAAACAGTTTAAATTTTGCATTATTATTCGTTTGTTTACTTTATACTGTAATATTTATTTTAATATTAATTAAACATTTTTCCAATAACATGGGTGACAAAATTTGTTACTATTACTGTCAGTTTGCTTAAATTTCAATCATTTGGGGGGATATTTTAATACTAACTGATACATCAAATGATATTAATATTAATATCATTATAATGATTATTGATGGTTGCGTGTAACAACGATTTTTCCCAATGATTTTCTATTGCATTTTTATATAATTAATAATTAATTTGTTTGTTTGCCCCATACTAATACGAACAAATTGTTAATTATCATAATCACAAAGTAATTGTTAATTATCATAATCACAAAGTAATTATCTAATCTTACTCCCTTCTCCAATAAATATTCGTGAATGTTAATA